CAGACCGGGATCCTACTTTAAAGCGGGGTTTCTTTTCATGATTTTAAAGTGAAATCGGTTGTCTAAATCTTGAGTAGATTTAGAATTTGTGCAAAATTCTGAATCCTTTAGACCAGTGGCAGTTTCAGCCTCTTTAAGGGGGGGAGCTTGAGCACCCCTAAATTTTAGCTCCGCACCCTTGAAAAAAAACTTGGGATTTTGTATAGGAACTGTTCTCAAACCTTTAGATTCACCTAAATATTGAATGAATTTGGAATAAATGTCTTAGACAGGCCAGTAAAATCTTTTGCATGAGTTGGATCCTCACCACCTGTCAATCCAGCAGGCTTGTCAGCAACTGACCAATCAGCAATCAATTTGTCCTGAAGTGAAACACCCCTTACCGGCAGCAGTTCCACCCCCTTTTCCTCCGACAATATTGTCAGGGTTTTGGATTTAGAACACTTTGCGGTCAGAGGGATTTTGTGAAAAATCATCAGGAAAAATGATTAAACGTTGTCAATGGAGGACATAATTCAGACTGTTACCTTGAGTGTAGTTTTATTCTATTTCCAAAACTTAAATGGAGTCTGGAAAAATGTAAGATGGATAAAGCCATGCAGCTGACAGGAAGCACCACATGTTTAACTGTATGAAAGTAACTGCAGGTAAATCCTCCATTTTGTGTCATAATTACATTGTGGCTTAATGGCTAAAGGTTAATGCTTAAAACTAGTTGTGTTTGTGTTTTAAATGTAGATATAGCAACTTCTGGTCGCATAAGTTTAGTCTTTGTTATGATCAGCCAACACTAAAATGATTTTGTACAAAGTGTTTATTAGGTTGTATAATGTAAAGCAGCGTGCTACGTCTGTAGCATCTTAGTTAACACGTTTGTATTGTGCGCTGCTAGCTTAGTGCTACTTCTTGTTGTGCCATGCTCTCTAAAATAGTTATTGAATCAAGTGTTTACTTATGTACTGTTGAAAGGTACGAACACCTTTCTCCGGGTTGTTTGGATCGAGCAGGAGACCACCTTACTTTAAGAGAGTTTTAATACACACCACAGTTAAAGTATTACAAAAACAAAGTACTGAAATGCATTTCAGGAGACAATAGAGGCGTAGTTCACCTGAGAAGTTGCTCTGCTCAAGATTGTCAAGTCAAGTCACATTTATTTATATAGCACATTTAAAACAGTAACTGTTATCAAAGTGCTGTCTGACGCTACTTCCTGTTTTAGGATAATATAAGCTCTTCATGAACCCGCCTCCCTCCTGGAGGGGGATCTTCTCCTATTGGCTGACAACCTAGTCAATCTAAGGTTACCTTGGCAACCATGCAGTCATATTTCTTATCTTTCAAGGAAAAATTAGTTTTAACTGGATTTTTTGGTACCAGTCTCGAAAGTTACTTTTCTTTGTTTCTGTCTACAGAAAAACGATTCGGCCCCCCCTTCCTGCTCAGTGCTGTACAAAAACAAGTTTTTCACCTCTATGTGATAAAATATGTGTGAACAGTTTATAACACACACAAAAATAGATATGATGTGAATGAAGTATAAAATATAAAACTATGGAAAAAGTGAACACACGGTGTATAAAATGTCCAGTGAACACAATCAGCCTGTCTATTCATCAGTACATAAACGTAGATGTTTTAAAATGTAAAAATACACCAGAATGAAGGGAATGGCATCTATTCAACATTTTTGGGGAAGGACCCTCAGACCCCCTACCAGTGTGTGTATGTGTGTGTCACACACTCACACTTTACATATACTGGTACTTCTGACCAAGGCCGGATTAACCATATGGGCAACTGGGCAACTACCCAGGGGCCCATGATCTCTAAGGGGCCCAGGGCAGTGAGGGCAAAAGCAAAATATCTGGTTACTGTATCTCCTGCTTTACTTGGAGTCCTGCGCTGCACAGAGAGACTGTTGCGCTTCCACTGCATTTGGGCCGCCCTGCCTCCTCCCAGCGCGGCTGCTGCAGCTCTCTGCTGCAGCTCTCTGCTGCAGCGCTCTGCTTTTTTTCCTCCCAATCTGATCCTCTACGTGCGACCTGTCAATCAACTCAGAAGGCATGCCAGTAACTGACCGATTGACAACCTCAATTTGTCCTGAAGGTAAACGCCCCTTACCTGCTGACAAGCTCATCAGTTGTTGTTGTTTTTGAGAAACATCGTTTTAATTAAAACAATAAGTTTGTATCTGTTGTGAGATGATTTTAGCAGTTTTGCAGATTTTTATTCTACTTAATGAAGAATATTATGACTTAAAATCGTTCATCAAACAGGAAGGAGGACTTATTATCCCTCCTCTTACTACAGTGAATGTGGTACTTTGCTATAAGTACGACTATATTTATGGCATCAGAGAAAGCCGAGCTTAAGTTATCCACATAAAGTAAAATGTTATCAGCATGAAAAGAAGGAATGTTAAGTTTGAGATTGATCCAGTTTCTGATGTCTGACCAAAGACTTTGTATTGACATTAAAAAAATTGCTCGAGGGATTCATCTTCTGATTTACAAAAGACACAAATCAACCTCAAATTTAAATCTTATTTCAAGAAACATGGCTACAGGATATATCTTATTTATTATTTTAAAATGATTTTCCTTCACTTTATGAGATTTAGGCCATTTGACAAATTTAGAATGAGCATGTCAATATGGTTTTATGATTTATATTAGGTTTCTTGAAGGAATCTTTGTTATAATCAGTAAATCCTTTGTTACAAACATTCATTGATAATCTTATTGCATTTGAAGTCAACTAAGTTACAGTCATTTAGTTTTAATTTGGGCATCAAATCTTCACCTTTGAATATATAATATTTTTAATTAATTGAATCAGCTGTTGGTCAGGCTACTTCTTGTTGTGCTATTAACTCTAAAATAGTTACTAAATCAAGTGTTTACTTCCATCCATCTGCGGGGGTAGCAGCCTAAGTAGGGAGGCCCAGACTTCCCTCTCCACAGCCACTTGGACCAGCTCCTCCAGGGGAATCCCAAGGCGTTCCAAGTGTTTACTTATGTAAGTAAAACTAGATGTTAAACAACCATTAAAATACACCAGAATGCAGGAAATGGCATCTACTTTATTTAAAATTTTCTGGGGGAGGACCCCCAGACCCCCCACCACACACATTATAAATGCTTCTGACACCAGTGCCCAACACGTTACTAAACAAGTACAAATTTGGTGTTGTGTAGTGTTCATAGTGTGTTCAACTTAATTCAGTCTTGATGATTTGTGTCAATGAGCATTTCGAGTTTTATACATAAAAATACACTTGATAGTTAGGAATTTAAGTATATTTACTGTATATTATGGTCAGTTATTCTGGATTTTGCCAGATTATTGTGATTCTGGGGTCGTGATGATGGGGCCCTTGAAGATTGTTGCCCAGGGTACAGTGAAGTGTTAATCTGGCCCTGCTTCTGACACCAATTGCCACTGCGTTGTTCAACCCAAGAGTCATTGACAGCACTGGGGACTAAGCACCCCTAAAGGTCAGATTCTAGAATTGCCCCTGATTTAGACTAATTTCAAGTCCTAGTTTTGGAATTTAAATTAGAAATATTGTGATAATCTGGCAAATTGTCAGGTTATTTTGACAAAACTGCATATGAGGAAGAGGTATTATCAAATGTGCATGTGAAACTGACAAACAGACCAGATTGCTTCTATCATCATATCCAGTTTCTTATCAGGTTGATGCTCTAGTCTAGGTCACAGACCACTTCTTGGATCTGAATGGTTTTGCCAGCTGATCAGACCAGGACTTTCACAAGAGGAGGATAGATTCTACCAGGACTTGGAAAGGTTTCAATCCGCATTCGCCCAGGATAACCAGGACTCAAGGTGATGTCTTCTGGGGTATATTCAGTCAACTGATGAGGAAAGCTGATACTGACAAGCAGCCACTTCCACTCACTTTAATCTCAAAGCTGTAAAAATCTGTCTTCTAGTTGTTGAATCACTCCTTCTTATTTATTTGACCATATTTTACTGTGCTTGGCTTTACAACAAAACATTTCTAAGAAAAAAATTGTTTTCCCATATTTAGATTAATGACCGTTAACAAAGACAGACACAGCAGGATAACTGGAAAAACATGAACTGAAGATTGAAAATCACATGTCTGAGTACAACACAGGACTTGAGGACATTCCAAAGAGTTACCAACTGTTGATGAAGAACTCTCTGAGATTGCCTGGAGTTGAATTAATAGTTTTATCTCCTGTTTAAAGTTAGGTCACATAGAAGTTTGCAAGACAAAAAGTACTAGACTTGATTGAACTCTTGAATAATCTTTTATCAAGAATGATGGCACAAATAATATTCAATCATCAATTTTCACATCTCAGAATTTACACAATCAAATAAACAGAGTTTATTTTTATGAATCATGTTTTTATACGAGTCTGTTTTTATATGTTTTTATACAAGTATTTTACCGTTCTATCGCTAATCGATTGAGGGCTCCTAAATGGTACACAAGTCGGAACAATCATGATTCACTGAGTTCAGATTAAACTTTAGAGAGATTAAATTGTGAATAAAGGTCATTATTCATAATGAGATGGGCTTGGTCACAAAACATAGTTTATTCAATGTAAAAAATGACCAACAATACATTTTAATCCAACTTTTAAAAAGTCCTTAGAGCATGGCCCTAAAAATGTAAGAAATTATTGTACAATTCTAGAAATATAAGAACTTAATGGAACAATAGTATATTTTAATTAAAGATCAGCTAAATTAAATCCTAAAGTTTGTCTCCGTACATTTTAATTTTTCCAATATAATTCAGTGAAATTTGCACAAATTCAAATCCAGAAAAATTATATGATTTTATTAGATTTACACAAAACAACCAGTGAAGCCTGGTCTTTTTCCTAAGTCAGAGAGCAGCAGCTGTGTGTCATTAACTCACTGAGCTCTGATTGGTTAGGACGTATCCTCTCCAACATTTATAAACCCATACCATTGCCTTGTTCATCACTGCTGGGTGCCATCATGGTGACTGCTGAGTACTTCTTCAGGTAATTAATAGTTGCTGTCACATATTTTGTTTCATGGTAGAAGAGGAAAAGAGATTAACTCAGTTTTTTATTTTTTATTTAATAGGCTGTCCCTTTGCGCCTTGCTGATTCAGCTTGCCCATGGCTATCCAATCAAAGGTGGCTTCTACAGACATTTGCCAAACGATGTGAAGTGAAACGTCAACTAAACACACTTTGTTTTTCAATTCCAGGGTTCGAACACGATGAACAGAGCAGTAGTGACTCTGATCATTCTGCCTCTCACCATGGTGAAGCTGGTGGCTACTATGCACCCATGTCTTACAGTGAATCCAGACATGTCTCTAGCCCAGTGCAAGGTTACAGCCCCTCCCAGTATGTCTACAGAGATGCAGCAAACTATATGCCTGGAGCAGGATACCCTGATGCTGCCTATATGCCTGGCTATCCCAGTTCATCACAGACTGAAGCTGCCCAGTCTAGTCCACCTGGTATGTCCTGAAACACTGCACAATTTACAACTAGTTTGTCCTTCTGTTTTAATCATTCCCCTCCTACAGAAATTAAGTGGTCTGTGGCGCCTAAAATCTTCTCTGAAGAGGGATTGGCCAACACTGAGGCTGTCGGCTCTGGTAATTTTGTCCCAGCTCCCCCTCCTCCTGCACCGTATGGTCCTGTCCTCCAGTCTGGAGAGACTTCCAATGTTGTGAAGGAAGCTGAACTTGGCAACTACCAGCAGGAAACTGAAGAACTTGGCTACCCATCTGGCCATTTGGGATCTAGTTTTGCAAGCCCATTTCTGCCAATTGTTGGTTTGGGGGGTTACCCTGGTTTATACCCATACCCCTATTCTTATCCAGCGTTTGACTTAAGGCTCCTGTATGGCCTGCACCCCCCTGGCACTTACACCACGTTGAGCAAAAACCATGAGAAGGGCAAGGACTACGATCAGGATGTTCACTACTTGAGAGAACATGGCCCTCTGGAAATTTCTGGTGGTTATGGACAGGAGAAGAAAATCTTCCAATTGACACCTTAAAGCTCTTTATGCAAGTTCAAGAAACTAGGCAAATTGTCTGGTTCTGTTTTCTTGACTGAATTTTGCTTTGACTTTCATATTGCATACAAGGAGGATTATGGCATTGGTTCAATAAAGTTAATGGATCTATTCTGGATTATTGTGGAACCATTTGAATGTTGTAACAATGTTTTAAAAAAAAAAAAAGTCACTTGTATTTAAAAGTTCAAGGCACAAAATCTGCTCAATGACTATATATATTAAAGGGGGAGATAAAAACCCTAATTTTGAATCACATTAAAGCAATATGCATTGAGCGTTCTGAATGACAACTTATCTGCATGGTTAAAACGGTCAAATTTGATTAAAACCATTTGAATTAAAACAAACTTCACACTATCTACAGTTAACCACAATATAATTATAAATCCAAGCAAGATTTGTAATAAACTGCGGGTATTAAAGTGAAACTTATTTCAATAAACTGAAGTGAATAAAGTTAAAAGCAGACTTGTTCGACATGATCTTGGGCATACAATTCTAAGCATTGCTTGTCTCCAAGAATTGCAGCAAAGTCATGAAACAAGCTTTGGCCATTCATTTTATGGCACCACACCTGTCCTGCAGCATCAAGAGCTTTTAGAAATGAGTTGTGGGAGAGAACTCTCCTCAGCTGGGTTGACTTGGAGCTTTAGCTTGTGTGACAACTTATTTTAAAATGAGTTAATGCTATTTAACAATCAAAAGATTTAATTGTAAAGTATCAATTTTTCCAAACTTGCATTTTGTTAAAGCCAACCAATCTGCATGTTTAAGTAGATATTTTAATATCAAAATAACTAGCATTTATTTTATAAGAATAATTCCATTTTATTCCAGTGGAAAAAATGCATGCTGTTTATGTAACAAAGTGAATTTTTGAACTGATTTGACCAAAGTTTTGTTTGTGCATCAGATAAGCCTGGGAGAAAAGTAAACTGTTGGGGTCACTTTGACCCACGAATGTTTCTTTATCAGTATCGATGTATTGCAAGGTCAGGAAGGAGCGCATCTCACTAAAAAGTATTTATGCATTTTTGTTTATGCCTGATTTCTTCATGGATGTTCAATAAACAATAATGTAAGGCTATACTTAAAGAGGGTCACCTTGTAACAGTTGTGCAATCAACACAAATGTGAGTCGACCTCGATCAAAGTAATAATGTGATTTCTTAGCAACGTTGTGATTCCCCTCACTCAAACACCCAAAAATTGATCAGTTAAAGTCACAATTCTGTAGCTTTTATTTTCACTTTGAATAATGGCAATATGGCAAATATAAGAAATATGAATAACCAGATAGTGTTATTTCAGAAAGTGAATGATGTAAATAGTTTTAACTTTGAGAAGAGATGTTATTCAAATTTAGGACATATTAAAATTTAGGTAAGCTTTAGTGCCCTGAGATGACTTCTGTTGTGACTTGGCGCTATATGAATAAACTAATTGAATTGAATAAACTCAAGTTTTGCTGTCAACTAAGAGTCACGTCTGTAATTTTAAATCATGACGTTCAAAGCCACTTCAGTGTGTCCCTAAAACAAGTTTGGCGTTGCAATATTAGCCTATATCCTGCTACATGTTCCAGCCTGTGATTTATTTTAAAACTACCATATTTTTTGGACTATAAGGTGCACCGGATTATAAGGTGCATTAAGCAGAACAAAACTGTCAGATAAGTCAAACTTTATTCAACTCATTCACAATAACCACATAAAATCGGTTCGAGGTCAGTAACTAGAATTAATACATAAGGCGCACCGGATTATAAGGCTCACTGTCGATTTTTGAGAAAATTAAAGGATTTTAAGTGTGCCTTATAGTCCGAAAAATTAGGTAATCAATTAAACAGTCACTTTAATGGTGCATATTTATGCAGTCACCTTTTAATTACATTTTTCCAATTGGCAAAACTTTGTAGAAATTACAATTTTTTCTTTATTAAATAATGTTTTATCAATGATTTGGTTTAAAAGGCTTATACTGACCATGATTGATTTACAGCAGCAATAAAAGAAAAACATCAACAGGGGTGAATATTGAAAGACAACGTAATGGGAGTATGAAGACTTACAAGAACACCTTAAGTCATACAGCAGTGACAAAATACCAACATTTTGGAGAATAAATTGTAAAGTGTCTGTAAGAAGTATTTTTTTGCAATAAAAAGCTCCAGAGAGAGCAGTATACAAATAATTTTCCACAGCATTTTGTAAATTTTATCAACATGGTACACTTTACTGCTACCAAAGATCATGGCACAATACTCCCAACTAAAACACATGTTGATGTTTATTTTGTCTAGGTTTTAACAAAAGGTAAGAATAGATGAGCAACTACATGTGAACATTTATATGGGTTCCTTAATACTTGTGCAATAACACCCTTAACATAGAATGTAGCATAGAACTAATATTTAAAAATCTGCACTTTCAAGTATTTATATTCAAGTTGTGGAACCAGGTCAGAATTCAGTAAAAATCAGATCTATGTATTTCTGGATGTGATTTCTGTTAAACAATCAGAGCATGTTATTGACTTACCACTCAAGCTGAAGTTAAAAACTAATTTATTAATTTACACATGTTTAAAAAATAAGTATATAATAAAGATGTAATTAAAAAAAGCATAGACATGAAGTATGTGATTTGTAATGAGTTCATTTGTGCCCAGAGAACATCAAATAAAAAAAATGAACTATTATTATTGTAGTTCCAATGCATTTCTCAGGTTTAGCATTATGAAAATAATTTTGATCCTGATAGAGAAGAATTTCAGAGTTACACCAAAAACTTTTAAGAGCAATAAGAAAAAAACAAATGATGCACAAATGTATAAACACATAAGATACTGGAGGTCAGCAGGAGGACTGACTGAAATGGCTGCTGTGCTTTGTTTGCTTGCAAAGATCTGATTGGTCAGGAATGGCCTCAGACTGGGACTATTTATAAACCTCTATCGTTGGACTTTTTTCACAGCATGCTTTCAGTCAGTATGGTGACGTTGCGGGTTTTGCTGGGGTATGTCACAATCTAAATTTAGCTAAAACAGTTTTTACTGGTTATTTACCGTTATGAGTAAAAATGTAAAAAAAACAAAAAACATTTTGTTTGACTTCAGGGTTTCCCTTTGTGCTCTGCTGATTCTGGGTGCACATGGCTATCCAGTTAAAGGTAGGAGTCTTCTACTTTTTGTGAAAGTGTAGTTCAATCTACTTCTGCTAAATGCTTATCTTGTGTTCAGGCTCAGAATCCCAGCATGGCGGTGGTTCACATACTGGAGGCCATTCTGCTTATCATCAAGGAGCTGGCAGCCACTATGCACCCATGTATTCTGGTGTTCCCAGACACACGTCCAGACCACTGCAAGTGCCTGGACAAGCTTCAGGCAGCATGAACCCTATGTCTGGAGCAGGATACTCTAATGGTGCTGTCTATATGCCAGTTGGATATCCCAGTTCATCACAGACTGAAGCTGCCCAGCCTAGTCCACCTGGTATGTCCTAAAACACTGCAGAATTTATAACTAGTTTGTCCTTATGTTTAATAATTCCTCTTTGCTACAGAAACCAAGTGGTCTGTGGCACCTAAAATCTTCTCTGAAGAGGGATTGGCCAACACTGAAGCTGTCGGCTCCAGTAACTTTGTCCCAGCTCCCCATCCTCCTGTACCATATGGTCCTGTCCTCCAGTCTGGAGAGACTTCCAATGTTGTGAAGGAAGCTGAACTTGGAAATTACCAGCAGGAAACGGAGGAATTTGGTTACGCACATGACCATATGAGGCCTGGTTATACAAGTTACCCTCTTGCAAGCCCATTTCTGCCAATTGTTGGTGGCTTGGGGGGTTACCCTGGCCTGTACCCATACCTCTATCCATTATTTGACTTCAGGCTGCTGTATGGTCTGTACCCTCCTGGCACCTACACCACCTTCAATAAAAACCATGAGAAGGGCAAGGACCACTATCAGAGCATCCACTACTTGAAAGAACATGGGCCAGGTCACTCAGATGTTCACTACACCCATGGCCGTCCTGGCTCTGTGCAGCAGCAGAAAATCTTCCCAAGGGCACATCAGAACTCTTAAAGGGGAGGAGCTTGAGGGTAAGTTAAGGAAGCCCCCTTGTGAAATTTGCATCTCAACTTGTCTAAACTTGACTTTGTTTTGTTCTTCTTCTTCTTCTTTTTTTTTTTGCAGAATGAATAAAGGATGACTCATGCAAGAAATTCAGTCTTTTATTAATAATTTTTAAATAAACTTTGACTGGTTACTCTGAAAATGGTATTACAAGGTTTGTGTGGATAAGTCCCAGAAAATTTGAAAAAAATTTTTGGATAGTTTATTTACTTTTTTGGGGTTTGGTTCACAGTGTTATGAATAATTTCCACATTTGGTAGCTGCATGTTTTGCTATGTTTAGCGTGAACCTTTTGTTTTTGTCCCGGCTTTATTTTCTGAGTTAATCGATTCTTGTTAATTGCTCCTTCCCTTGAATTTAACGACTGCTGCTGTACCATCATTGCTGGGGAGAGGGAGCATGGACTTTGAGCCTATTTGAGCTGGACACTCAGGGTCAGGTGTTCTGCTAGAAAGAGTAAAGGATATGTCCCACTGCTCATCTACTTCCCCGCATGTCTGTCGGGGTGTCAGCATGGTTTTCCTTGTTCCAAGGCTCACAATCTTCAGCTAAAGGAAAGTGCAAACCTTCCCCCTACGATGTGTGTGGGTACCAATGGGATTATTTGTGTGACAATCAGGCCTCTTAGTCCTCGTTCCATATCTGTTTTTAGAGCTTCTGTTGGAGAAGGACGTGGATGTGCAGCTGGGATGCGCACTCTCACCAGTGCAAGGATGATTATTCCTGGAAATCAAGCAGCCAGACCCTGTAGCATGAGGAAGGTGACTCCTATGACCTGAACTTGTGGTCACCTTTCATAACAAACTGACTGGTAGTTTTCTGAACTTTTGACCTGAATAATATCCTAAACGTATGTTTTCACACATTCACTGTCCTGGAAACTTTATCACTTGGTTTGATAAATGCTTATAGAGCTATTTTAAGCTTTTGATAAAGAATAAAGACAAAGATCCATAAAGTCAAGTTTATTTATATTTTTATTAGGCCATGTTTAAAACATGAACGTATGAAATTATGTGAAATAACATATTT